TCTCGTCAGTAGTTTTATTCTCATGTTAACAATTATTTTTTACTTTTTACTTTGATTAACTCTAAAAGCGTATTTTTTAGTTTTTTTTTTTTAAACTATAATTTATTTTCTTTTTAGTTTGATTAGCTCTAAAAGCGTGTTTTTTAGTCTTTTTAAACTATAATTTATTTTCTTTTTAGTTTGATTAACTCTAAGTATTAGTGTGAAATTCAGTAACTGTAGAATATATGAAGACAAATGATGTATAAGATTATTCGATCTAAAATGCTTATATGATAATGAATTTTTTTAGCATAAATTTGTGGTAAAATAAATTTAGGAGTAGGTCAGTAGGAATTTCTGTAGTAGTAGGTACTACCTTTAGCATAAATTTAGTACAGGGTCATAGACTGGTAGTTAATACATTGGGTTGATTTGATTTAGTTTGTAGCTCTACGGACATTATAATCTATTGGTTCAGACTTTGGGTTAATTAGACAGGGATTCGAATCTGAAGCCTATGGCACCAAAGTCCAAAGCGCTAGACAATTGGCCAACAGGACCCCTACATTGGGTTCAATTAGATAAATTTGTACGGAATAAGACCAGCGAGCTATCTCAAAGGCGAGCGGAGTGCTGAGCACTCCTCTCTGGCGCGCGATGCCCTAGGTTTCGTGTTCGAGTTCCGGAGGTGGCCTGGATGCTTGTAGTAGTACAGAATCCACTTTAAATCGTAGGTACCGAACTAATACAACCTGAGGAGCGTTGGGTGTAAGGTTGACATGCCTGCAACGTAAAAAAAGAAAATACCTCCTATCTCGAAATCTGCGAGTAGGCAGACGGCCTTGGCCCACCATGGGGCTGCTGCACCAAAAGAAGAGCTAAATCAAAGATTCCCATTGCCTATACCAGGGGTGGCCAACCCGTGGCTTGTCCTGAATATTTTCCGGCCTTTGAGATTTATCACTCTTTTACAAAATATATTTATTTTATAGTGGTCAAAGTAGTGAAAACAAATGGATAAAAAAAATACATTATGTGTGCATCAAAGATTTAAAATATTCAAAGATTCAAAGATTAATTGTATTCAAAGATTAAATGACGAAATTATGTGAAAAAAATTAATTTTGATTTTAAAACAATATTCTTGCGAATATATGACAGATATTGCCTGTTTTATTTATGAGTTTACAATTATGAGTTCGCAGAATAGTTAAATTATATTGTACGAATTCATGATGCGTGCGCATCTTGAAACATCTAATATAACAGGTTCTATGTTTCACTTTAAGTGGTCTCAGTGATTATTCCTAAATACGCACAATTTATTGTTGATAGCAGCGCAAACCAGACTCTTAGTTGAAGTTTTTAGCGCTTTTGGTAAAACTTACACCCGCGAATCGTTTTTCTAAAATGGAATTGACAAACACAACTCTCAGATACAACGAACGCTAACTTGCAACATCCATTACGATGTGCAAATACCCAAATTGAGATCAATTTGCAAAAGCTAATTGAAAGAGTGAAGGAACAAATATCACACTAGTAAAATAAATATTTTTTAATGATTTCAATTTTTTTAAATTTTGTTTATATTTTTTATACTTCATTTTTAGTGTTTATATTTCTTTACAATGTGCGTTTAGTTCATTATTATTACATTATCTATGTTTACATGTAAAATAATAGTAAAAACAAAATATTAATTCTAATATTAATGTTTCAACTCTATATTAATGATATACATATCAACTTTATATTATATTATTAACTCTATGTTTATACTCTATATTAATGTTTAGATTTTCCTCCAAAAAATGTCTATTTAGGTTCTAAATTTAATATTTGGATAAACAATTTTATATGCGCCCCACGGAGTTATGATACATTTCGAAAGTGGCCTGCAAGATCATTCGGGTTGGCCACCCCTGGTCTATATCAGCATTGGTTACAATAAATCTGTAGAATGGCAAATTCTCCATTGCATTTAAAGAAATGGGTATTGGGGCGAATCCTCAGACGCCACCTTTAGAAGATGTTTGATCAAAATTATGATGACATCAAAGAATAACAATCCCAAACGAAAGTCAATGCTACTTTTTTAAAATGGACAAGCTCGTAGACCAAATAGGAAGATGCATAACCATTTACATAGTTGTTCTTAAATAAAAAAACATTATAATTTAAAACAAAATCATATGCACTGAAAGTAGAACTGATACCACAAATGATGAAAGTTACTGACATTGTTGAGTATTCCTTGCAAAATAAATTATAGTTTAAAAAAACTAAAAAACACCCTTTTAGAGTTAATCAAACTAAAAAGTAAAAAATAAATTACAGTTTAAAAAAGCTAAAAATACGCTTTTAGAGTTAATCAAAGTAAAAAGAAAAAAATAATTGTTAACATAAGAATAAAATTACTGACGAGAAAATTTATGTCACTGTTCTAAAAGCTTGGGGTGCTCGATAACAATCGTTATAATTTTCACTAGTTTCATTCCGAAATGCAGAGTTAGTTTAAAAATGTCACACAAAGCACCCACGCTTTTAGAACAGCGACACAAATTTTCGTCAGTAATTTTATTCTTATGTTGACAATTATTTTTTTCTTTTTACTTTGATTAACTCTAAAAGCGAGTTTTTAAACTATAATATTTAAATGAGGTCCCCGTACGGAAGACTAGAAATATTGTTTTTACAATAATTTAATTGTGAGTAAACCAAAGGCTAAATGCGAATATTTCGAGGCAGCCAGGATTCGAACATGGAACCTCCTCATCAGTAGTCAGGAGCGTTATCCGTTATGCCGCTGTCCCACGTATGGCCTGATGTCTTAGGTACTTTCATTCTACATGGGTTAAATTGCTGTTCATAAGTTAAAATAAAATTACTAATCCTGGCGACCTAATCATGATGAGATAATAAACTTATCAAAATATTTTAGTGTCGTCGGTCCTTGATAAGTCTACAACGTTTAAATTAAATCGGATCGCTTAAAGTAGGGCAAAATCGAGCCCAAAGAGTCAAGTTACAAACAAACATACAGGTGAAACTAATAAAAGGGTATTAAAAACACGTTGTTTAAAACTGGATATTGGTTATTTGCCGTTCAAACTACAGCAGATGAACATATTGCAATGAGAAGGATGTTCGTAAAAAATTCTCTAGCAATTTTTAGCATCCATTGTATTTAAAAAAAAATTTTTTGTGGTTTTATATTTGGTCAATTTATATTACGGATCAATTTATATTTACGGTTTTAAAATTGGAGCTACGGTCTTGCACTGTATAAAAAATCACCATGTTAACCACACTTTTATAAGTCAGTTAGTTATTTGTGTGATATCTGAAATACACTCATGTCCATAAATTAAGGATAATTCAGAATCACACAGAAATTGAACTCTAAAATAAAAATTACACCTGTAGAATTATCACATACATCTTGAAAAAGAATATGCAAATTACAGGAAACCACCAGATGGCGCGGATAGTACGTCCCAATGACGAGAGTGTAAGAGAGGGGTATATAAGGAATGGTGGCAAAGAAGTAAAACTGTTCACAAGCGCTTGACCGTGTACAGACGCTTAGGGCACATTGGTCTATATGCTCGTAGGCCTGTCAGATGTGTTCCACTTACCTCAACTCACTGTCGCCTGCGATTAACCTGGAGTAGAGATGCATTGTGGACACCGCAACAGTGGTCTGGTGTGATGTTTTCAAACGAGTCCAGGTTTAGTTTGCAGTCTTATTCTCGCCGGACTTTCATATGGAGAGCGCCAGGTACCCGTTACCACCAAGAGAACACCATTGAACGACACCGTTATGGTGGTGCAGGATGGCCCGTTTGGGGAGGAATTATTCTTGGTTCCAGAACTGACCTGCATGTTCAGAGGCCACATCTATCGGGATGTCATTCTGGAACAACATGTACGTTTGTTTCGGGGCGCCATGGGTGTTGAACTTCTGTTTATGGATGACAACGCCCGTCCTCACCGTGCAAACATTGTTGACGAATGCCTTCAATTGGAGGATATCACCCGTATGGATTGGCCAGCATACTCTTCGGACTTGAATCCAATAGAGCATGTGTGGGATATGCTTGGCTGACGAATTGCAGCCCGTCAACCCCGCCCCCACCTGTCAACCGGAACTTCGGAGGGCATTGCTTGATGAGTGGTGTAATATTCCCCAAGATCAGATTGATAATTTGATACTCAGCATGCCTAGGCGTTGTAAGGCCTGTATTGCATCGTCCGGGAGACATACTCCATATTAACCATCATACTAACCATGTTATACTGTTTTTTGTAAATAGGTTCTTTTTGAAATTCGCTCCAGGGAGTAAAAATTGCAATTTTTATTAATTATGTCAAACATATAGAATTTTTTTGCTCTTTACCTTTTGTTTAATAAATAGACTTTACAAATAAGTCAAATTTGTTTTGCTTCTGTCTCTTTCTTTGCCTGAACTTCATTATCCTTAATTTATGGACATGAGTGTAGTACATGATAGAATACAATCACAAATTATATATCACAAATGAATTAATTTGCATATTTAATATTTTTTTTTTGTATTGCAATTTTCAGGAGGCAAAAAATTACTTGAATCGTGGATACATGTAAAGTCGTGTTTAGAATTGGAATATTTCATATCTTCTCTTTTCGGAACAAAATAGTTACTGATAGTCATATTTTTGTGAGAAAATTCGTTTTTCACACTTTTCTAAACACGTACAGCAAATGTTTATATACGATTCTTTCTCACATTCCTATTTTTATTCTTTGATATCAGCAAATTATATATCATTTTTTTATTTCCTAATAGCAGCCTATTTTTATTTCTAGACCTTCCTATTTTTCTTTTCGCAAGCAATTTGAACAGATTTATATAATACTTATTTTATTATTACCTATATATTGTATACTTATTTCTTCTTCTTATAATTATTATTACTTATATTATATTTATTTTAGAACATCAATAGGAATACCATCTTTAACCTCCCATAAATACATTATCAAGAGATTATGTGTTATACAAGAATTTTTTTCCTGTCATTATTTGGTTTGGAATGAAAATTTTATTTAAATAAATAAAATATTTCATTAAAATAAATTTTGACACTGAAAAAAGATTTATTATTAATTGTATTTTTATTATTGAGAGAAAGCAGACAAACGATAATTACATTTATTAAAAGTTGGTAAGACAGCACTTCTAACTGCAACACATAACACAATTATATAACAAATATTTACAAAGTCATCTTAAAAGCAGTTCGTTTAAGCCAGTTCGTTCTTTTATTCTTTGTACTAGCTGGAACTCTTCACTGGACTCCGCACACTCCCTTTATTCTTTCCCCCTATCTCGTTATCGGCTAATGAGTGAAAAAAAAAAAAACCCGCGCAAATTCCGAAGTCTAACATAAGGGTCAAGACCCGTCCTTGAAAGAAAGATCTGTTAACTTTGAGTTCAAGGTTCAAGGTTAAACTTCAGATCCTTAGTTTGTTGTAGAAACGTTACATACAATTCCTTAATATTACTTTTCGAAAACAACCTTTTTTGTGGAAATGCATGGTGGATCCTAACTGAGAGCATCAAAACTCTGTGGAATGTTTGTAAAAAGATATTTATTTTTGAAACTGCTAATAACTTTTTCTTTTGAATTAAAAAGATATATATTGAATTTAATGACACCTATCGTAGCTACAGAATCATTAGAAAAACTGTGAATCTTTATATATCCACCTTCTTTATTCAACTCTCATATCGTGAACTTAGTTATCTGAAGAAGTACATTGAGTTCTTTAGCACATTCCCCCTGGAATTATATTTTTTAATGGTCCACAAAACTTTTTTTCCTCTTTTTCCCGCCATTTCTTGTAAAGTAAGTCTTTATTATACTGACTAGGAAAACATCTTCCTCCAGGTAACATTTCAAAATCAACACATCTTTCCACACAGAAGTATCTAGTATGCAATTCGGAATCGATTTCCTCTGATATTCAGTCGGATAATAATCTCCATAACGAATGTATATACTGTAACATTTTCTAATACCATAATTGTACCTAGAGGTATGATACAGTGTTTGAAAGCTATGGTCGCAGTCTCTGGCCCTCCAGGAGTTCTTAAAAGACAGCACAATAGACAACATGAGTTTTCAATAAACACAGATTCCCAATAGTATAACCCATCATTTATACATGAAATCTAATAATATACTTTTTTTCTTATTTCTCAAGGCGAAAGAAATTTTTTTAAATTTTCCATATGTTGTAACATATGACCTTATTGGAAACCAATCCATTATAATAAGAATCTCACACAAAGGAGGAACAAGCAGAACAAAGTAAACATATAGTAAAACAGTAATAAATAATAGAGATTTTTTTGCATACCGTATTTTGGACGTCCGTTATTTTTTTCTTCCTAGCGCGCATGCTCATAGGAAACATTATTACAGATACGCATGTGCAATTTCCTATGAGCATGAGCGCTAGGGAGAAAAATAACGGACGTCCAAAATACGGTATGCAAAAACTCTCTAATAAGTCGGGCTCACACACACACAAAGTCAAAAGGGGAGAGAGTAAATAAAGGGGCTTGGCCCTTTATTTTAGTCCATGAGGTTTCTGGCCTCCCAATTTAAATTAAGACTTCTCCTTGGTGCTGAGCTTCCCAGTTCAGTCCTGGACATTTCAAAATATGTTCTCAATTCATTGTTCCAGCTCTACATATTGGGCAAGTGTTCGAGGTAAGGACACCAATCCTGTTTAGGTGTTCCGCAAGACAATCGTGTCCGGGTCTTAATCGAAAGTTGGCAACTGCCTCTTTTACGTGGTCTAGCGTAAAATTTTCCAGTCATCTTGAATATTGTACCACTTTTTGCCTTCAGATTTAGTTATAAAATTATCTTTCAATTTCTTAAAAAATTCTCGATGAATATGTTTCTTGAAAGATTCTGGTGGAATTTTCCATTATTCACATGGCTTCCTTTCTTTGCAAGTGAATCTGCTGCTTCGTTAGCTTTAATTCCCAAGTGTGATGGTATCCACTGGAATACAATTTGCTTGGCTTTAGTTCTTAAATATTTGATATCTTTCTTGATTTGAGTTATTATTGGGTTTACAGTGTGATGATTTAATGAGACAGCTTGTTTGGTTGTTCTGGAATCTACGAATATTATAACTTTAGAGTAGCAATCATTATTTACTAAAATTATAAATTATTTATTGCTTAATGTACAGCATAGATTTCAGCGTCAAAATTTGTCATAAATTTTCCTACTTAATTTTCCATATTATTGTACAATTACCAATTTCTGGATTGAATTTGGATCACATATTCTGGACGTTCCATCCTCGGTATGCTATTCATATACGGGATTCTTTACATTAAATTCCTGTGTAGTAAGTATTCATCAAAGTCTAGCCACATTTGAGAATGAGTTGTTATTAACACTCTCAGATCTGCTACATAAACAATGTGTTAACATATCGTGTCGTTAATTGGTGCAGATAGTTTGAATCTTCCTTTTGATGAAGGATAAAAATAATTTAGAGTTAAAAATGGAATTTAATTTGGAATATTACATTGATTTAAAAATTATTTTTATAGTATAAATTTTAAATTTTTTGCTTCCTTGATTTGTATCTGAAGAAAAAAAAATAATCTATGATGAAAAAACTGCTTCTTGCTGCATTTGAGTAAAACGCTATTGGACCACAAATAACTTATACCAAATGAAGAATAGATGTTAAGTTAAGAAGTCACGATGTAATAGATGTTAAGAAGTTTTGTTTTTA